GTGCACAATCTTTTGTTTAACTATTGTTTTAGCCATACTGGTCACATCTGAATGAACAGAGCGAAAAATATTCTTTTGACTATTTCTTCAAAATGCATAATGATTTCTAACCAATATCGCAATATTTCATTTTATAATCTCATAGAGGGTGTTTGTGTTTAGTCATTTTGCAATTTCCATCGTCCGTAAGAAAAAMGTTGTGCACGGTCTTGACTGATTCAACCTCAAAATACATACAAAAGATGTACAAAAGAAGTACAACAAAAGGTTTCCAAACCATTCCCTTTATTAACTATGCTTTGAAGTAACGTGAAGTAACATCATGGTGACGACCATGACGAAAAAGATAGCCAAAATTTCAACTCTAGGTTCCTTTGGAACCGCGAGTAATAATTCAATAGCATGTAAACATTTGACTACTTTATGCTGTCTAAAAAGTACCATTACCACATTTCCAGTTCTTATAACGCAAAACTTGTACATTAGGTTTCCAGTGTTTCAAGACTTTTTTCGAGAATGTCAATCATAATGAGCACAAAATGAAGAAGATAGCCAATACATGTACATATACCATAGAGAAAATGGACTTAACTGGTTTGGATTACCTGTGGAGAATTGTCCTTGAAGTCCCATCTGAAGAAATAGCAATGTTGGCTATTAGGCTGCTCCTTAAATTAAGCTATACTTGGCTGTCTCCAAAACTCAAAAAGGTAATGTTTACCGTAACAGTCTTCTTCATGCTTCCCTGCGCCATCGCAAAGGCAGCATCTTGAAAGGTAGCATTGAAGTGAGACGAGTGTGCAATGATAGAAACCTTTTTTCACACCTACAGACAATAATTCACAGGTTTCTATCATTGCACGCTCAACGGTTGTCTTGCTTCAATGCAAAGGCACAGCTACCTTTCAAGATGGCGCAGGGAGCCGTGAAGGAGACGCATGTGGGACTGTAGTCAAAATGTTTAAAAATTTGTCTAACAGCTTGACTTGATTTGTCTTACTTGCAGGATTCTCTAAATATCCACAAGAAATTCATTCTTGAATGCTACAAGCGCCTTGAGGTATGTGCGATTACAAGCAAAAGGCATTGGATATTTTTTCTACCAGGTTTTTCTAAATGTAATCATTGTATTATTAGCATATCATGTCTGTACTTGGTCACCATTCAGTGTCACATGCTGCCACTAGCGCTACAGTAGCAGCAACTGTCCCTATTACTCATGAAGCAATATTGTCACCTTCAGCTATCAGGTTGGTTTCTTTCCTTGTCTGCCTAGGAATATAGGTATTGTAATGCTGCCTTGGAGGTGGGAGCTAGTTCGGCAACTAAAATATTGACACGTACTGTGGTTTCTTCAGCTGAAATATTTTTTTTATCTTGAAAATTAATAGTGGTGTTGTATTATGGTACTTTATGAATGTAAATAACATGTTCTGCACAAGAATGTTCGTCTTTGAAATTCAAACTTCTGTGTGTGGCAATAGCCAACTTTTGAATTTTGCCTCAGTAGTCACGCACAAAGGAATCATGATGAGGCGACGTCCATAAAGCTATGTCATTCGTGAAAAGACAATAATTCTTGACGATTGCCTCTTCTTGATTTTTTTGTGTTTGACGACTGGAGCGAAATTCGCAAATTGGCTATTTAATTTCAGTTTATTCACACTATTCAGATGATTTTCAACAATACAATAGTTAAAATATAATATACTGTAGTTCCTAATCCCATCTAACGTTTTATGCTTCTGAGATTGTAATGTCCTCATTTTGTTTCCTTATGCAAGACTAATTGGTGAATTATTTTTCAGAACAAACAACTTACTAAGCATCGAAAGACTTCTTATGATAGCAGAGCACTATATTATAACTGTGGAGGTAAAACAACTTGAAAGCATCTTAGAAATCAGTACAAACTTTCTCAAATAATAATGTGAAATTTCCTTCTAGGATCTTCATGCTGGACCAAGGACCCTACTACCCCATGGTGCATCATTCCATGGTCATCCAATAACAGTGAATATAAACTGTGACGTTCCTAAGCAGCACATTACACTTCAGGTACTAACATGTAATTAATAAAAAAAAGCACATTGTCATTACTGTATAATCCACAGTTTTGTGTGAGATAAAATGCCAATTATATATTGCTAACAATATATAAACTTTGTAACCACTGAAAATTGTGGCTGCTTCTCCTTTTGGGCGTCAAGTGATTTATAAAGTTGTGGATCCTAAGCACAGGTTTCTAGGTGTCCATCTTAAGCAGGAGCATATCGTTTAGTATCTCTTAACGTTTTTATGTACTCCCTAACTCTTCTGAACTTTGTTTACCTTTTTTTTCTCCCTCCACAAATGACCTAGGTCTTAAGTATGCTACCAACACTCAAGAGACTTCACTCTAACAGTTACACAACCAACAGACCATTACACACTGTATTTGGCATTCATGGCGTCTTGAAGCAATACATCTAAAATATAACTTAATTATTAGTAGCTCAAAGTGTTTACTGTAATGTAATATTTTATAATTTCAGTGTCACAGTAATGAATCACTTCGTTCCTTGCGTCACCGAATAGCTGGTAGATTGAACGTCACACCAGAGCAAGTACAAATTTTCAACAATGAAAAAATGGTAGAGTATTACCTTTCCAATGTATTTACAACCTATATATACCTATTTCAAAAAAGGTTGTCAGATAAAATGGTTAATGGCAATTGTCAAACGGCGATTGCACGACCGAAAGGAGCCATGGGTTTTGCTAATGGATGGGAAATAATAACTGGTTTTACCGTAAGATATTCTATGGTTATCATCGGCTCCATTTAGTTTCCATTTTCACGCATTAAAGTAAACCAAACAACTGAATTTTTTGTATGTCAAACAKCGTAACCATAGTCCCTTTCGGTCGTGCATTCTCCCTCGACAATCACCGCTCGCSTTTCTCCCCAACAATGTTTTTTTRAATAAGTGTATAAAAGCTTTAATAAAAGCTACTAGGTAATATCTAATACAATTTACTACATTTTTTGCTATTCCAGCTGCTTTCCTCTAAAGATCCAAAACTCTTGTACCAACTTGAATTTGAAGATGAACAGATAATTTTCGTGAAGACAACAGGGTCATCAGTCACCATGGTAACCAATAAAGATGAAATAGAGGTTGGTATTGTGAATAACGATCCACAAAACAAACAAACAAACACTAAAGTAAAGCCATGTCTCAAGTTTTATTATTTGCATTTTAGAACATTGTAGTTTAGTTCTCAGGCGCGTAGCTTGGACTTTTTGGCTAGTTCGCACATGTCAGGGACCGCAACACATCTTTTGGATCTGGGGGTCTAACTATCGCCAAAGGCGGGAGTATTGAGGGAGTCTGGACTTCCCCCAGGAAATTTTGAAATGATCACTCTTGGAAATGCAATTTCCAGCATTTTGAGAGACATCTGAGAGCATATAAAAGGGATCAATTTTATGTGAATTTTTCAGTAATTTTTGTGAATATTTTAATATTTTATTGTCACTAGTATATATGCATAAAAGAAACATATATATGCATAAAAGACGCTACACGCCTGGTTCTTGAACGATACGTAGAAAAGGATTTAATGTTGTTTCATTGCTGAAGAATTGTTTTTCCTTCACCTCCTGTAGTGCTGGAGTCTCTCTCCTTCTTCCTACATCGAGCTTTTATCTCTTCCTTATATGACATAAACTGTGACCCAACCTAACCCCCCTGCTCGGCTAAAATGATACCACAGGTATCYCAATTATCAAATGTCTACTGYAGATGCAGGACATCCGAGCAGATGACACAAGTGCAAGTGGATGCAATCGGCAAGCRTATGCACTGGAACAAGAACGYATYATGCCWGGTGTTATCATGTCAACRGAGTGTAGAGCATTTGATAAACTATATCAGTTAGCAGAACTTGAAGAACCAAGGTTAGAATAGACTTTATTTTCAACAGTTGTGGTAAAAATTAGCTAAGAATTATGCACAATTCCAGTAAAGGCCTGTTTACACTTGCGATTTTTRAAGCGCGATTGTCGCGCGACAATCSCCTAAGTTTCGAACATGCTTGRAATTTAGCTGCAACTCGCGGCGATTTTCGATCGCCGCGACAATCGCAGGGCTGTTTAGACGTAYGATTTCAGGTGCGTGACTACGAAGTGGCGATTGTCGCGAGACAATCGAGCTTCAAAAAGCGCAAGTGTAAGCGGGCCTTAAGATGCCCATCATAAAACTTATACACACTTTCTCCACACTTTCCTTTTTTCCTCGTCCGTTCACTTCTTTTCATAACGTTTATTCCTTTTTACAATGTAGATTAATTATTGTTTTTATTAGCATAACGTCCCATGTACAACGACTTCTGATGTTACTYCCWACTGAYCCAGTTGTGCAAGAAGCYTTGGACTCCATTGGGCAGCAGGTACAGTAAATGCAAACTCTTATCTCCTTGTTGGCCTTGTTGTACATGTMGCATTGGCACCTATTGGTGACAGTGCCGTCTAATTAACGGATTTAAATCATTTAGTGGCAAAAACAGCGTAGAAAATCTGCCAAAAGTGCAAAATAAGATGCTCAGCAATCTTTCTCTGTCTTGTTTGCCTCTAGAGATGTTTATTAGTAAAATTCAGTACAAAATGTTCTGTTTCTCTGTGACAATGATTTTTTCATGAGTGGTACATTATTGAGTAGAGTATTATATGCTGTCATGCCCTAACCTATATTTTCTGATTGATATTGTAGTTTACTCTGACCTGTACAACTGGAAGTACATCCATGGATGATTCTGGTGGAGTTGTACCCACAACAACCAACCTTAAGAACATGTTTCGATGTACTGCAGCAGGGATGTCACCCTTTAGAGTCTTGTACAACCTTGAGGTAGGTGAGCATGGTCAGTAATCAAGAAGAGTTTGGTTATTTTGATAACAGGGTTCGTGCTACTCCTTGAAATGCTTGAAAAGTCCTGGAATTGAGACCTTGTGTTCAAGGGCGTTTCAAAAGCCCTTCAAAATGGGAAAAATCGTTAAAACTCCTGGAAAACTCCTTGAACCTGGGAAATTAGCATGTTGCTTTTTAGCTTTTGGATTGAAATCTAGCTACATTGTATTTTGTGAAAATTGACATTGAAAATGTTTGCAATCATCAAAATATGTCTTCGAAAATAGTCCTTGAAAAACGTATTTTTGTGCTTAAAAAGTACTTCAAATTAAAGTCCTGCAATTTTGTAGTGAAATTGTAGCACGAACCCTGTGATAAACAATGAAGTATTTTATTCATTTAACAATAATCTTTGGTATTTTCATAGGTCTTGAGTGGTAAACTGATGCCAACTCARCACAGAGATGGCGGAGCAAGTGCAAGGGCTTTCAAAGAGAACTTCTTGGCTGCCTCTGGTCTAGAGTATGTGTCATTCACGAAACCCTGATTTGGTTGTCATTCTTTTTTGCTATCATGTGGCTTTTGGGCCCCTCCCTCAATTGAAAAAGACTGGATATTGACACCTAATGAGACTTCAAAAGACGAATGTAACGAACTTTCATAAGTGAACTGAAGAGGTTTTTAACGAAACTAGTTTTCACTGAATTTACCGTTGATTGTGTACGTTTTAGACTTATAATAAGGGTACTTGACCTTAGATATATTCCTACGATGATACCTAATGATGTACATTTATTGTCAGTGGTTGTTGACAAAGTTTGATCAATTATAATATTGTGTTTTTCTTTCAGTATTGTTGTAAATATTTTACAAAAAGATATGTTTCCATCTGATGTTGATACTGAAATACGTCGTGATTGCTATTCCATATGTCTGCAGCTTGCCAGGTAAGTTTTCAAGAACTGTTAAATGTTGCTGCCTTAGATATAGATAGAGAATTGTCCATTATGGTTACTTCACTCTAATTTAGCACAGAGAAAATTAGTAGAGTCAGCAAGAGATTGAGAATTTGGGTTGTAATTCAAAGTACTATTGAAACTTCAGGTTTCTTTTGTGTGGTCAGTCATCTGAGAATTCCTTCACTACTCCATCGTCCCCCACAAGGGATAGTGCTACCATAGCAACATCACCTCTCTCCATGGCAACCATGGATTTGGATCTCAATGACTCGTCTGAGCCCAAGAGACCAAGGTCCAGCAGTATGATTGACGATGTCCATCCAACAGTGCGGGCAGCGATAGAGGTACATGTGTTGGATGTTTGCGAATYAAATATTAAATTAATAAGTAAATAGATAAATKTCTGAATGAAAGATTACTTRATAAACAAACTGGTTGCACGTGATGAATGWTCCCTGTCAAAGCTGGCGGAATATWCATTTTTACATTCGCTAAACATTGCATSAAGTTCCAGTACATTTATTTTGATAACATACAAGTCATCTTATTTTTCAGACAATGAACCGTGATGACTTTGCCGAAACTATTGCTTGTCTCATGCGTGTGGCCTGGGCTGCAGCTGCYGGTCGAATYCACCTGGCAGGGGGTAGRCAGAGGCTGTCTAGTCAAAGCTCCGATGATGATGGGGGAGGGGGGAGTGACTCTGATTCCCTAAAGTCATTTCGATCAAGTATATCGTCCAATACATTGGAAGTCACTAACAAGGTATATGTTATTATATGATATAGTTATTATTGGATGTGACTTAGTATGATATGAAAGAATTATTGGATGATACTGAGCATGATATGAAGAATTATTGGTTGAGGCTGAGTATGATATTATGAAAAAGTTAATATGTACATGTTGGTTTAGTGAGGCGCCATTTATTCTGATAAAGTCAAATCCAATAGGAAAAGTCGTTATTTATTAAAGCGTTTTTTTTTCAGGACGTTGTAATTGTTGCTGAAGCATTACAGCTTTTAGTGTTATGTTTACAGCTTCGAACGTCATTAATGGGTAAATATTATAATTATATTATATTATATTACATGTAATTAACGGAATTATTTTCATCCAAAAATTTGCTTCTTGCGATATTGCACATTTTATGAATTCATTGAACAAATTAGTTATTTGCTTTGTTTTGCACTAATGTGTATTGAGCACTCTTCAACCGCGTCAGCTACAAATTCACTTGGCTATTTATTTGCTCATGTACATTTCGTATTAATTCTATTTTCTCGAATTTTTGATTGGTTATATTCAAGTATTCATTGTAATTTCATTTCTTCATTTTATAATCTTCACTGATTTATTAATTCATTCTTGTTTTCTTTCTCACTAGGAGTATTTTACTATCTCCCAAGTGTAAATGATTTTATTGTTGAGATAATTATTGGTACTCCACATCCGCAGGTAAGTCATCATTCCAACTTATACTAAAGTATATTCTCCATTGTTTATAGATTCATTTTGTGTGTTTAATCAGGTTCGGAACACAGGAGTCGATCAGTTTCTTATCTTAAGTCAAACGCCAGTTGGAGGTGAGTTATTGACGAATTGAATTGAGAAATGATGGACCAATGGACCTAATTTTAACTAATATTTTCGTTTTTGTCACGTAATTCACGTAATTGCTTTAAATATATGGGCAATTTTTGTTCAAACTCTTTTTCGCGGGTCTTTGATCTTTTGCGATTTTTAACAAATCACGAAATTTTAATTCTGGCAAAAATTTGTACGAAAAATAAATAGCAATGCGCTTGAMTGATTAGACGTGGTGTGTCTCTTTCAGATCCCAAAGTGCAGACTCCAAATCATTTTATACTTAATGTTTTATTAAACGCTCCTTTACCTTTATGGACACCAAACCTTTTTGTCAGGGGTAAAAATCATAGGTAAGTTACGAGTATGGCATGTATGTGGTTAAATCTGGATATCATCTTCAGGACGTAGGAGTTTTATTGCTATTATAATTCTCTTTGTTTACATTTTCAGACTTCAAAAGAATTGTAGCCAATACTTCGATCTTATATGTCGTTTAATGGAGTACTTAACAAGTATGTATTGGCAGGTTTAATGATCAAATTTCTTGATTACAATCGATTGCAATGAGACTAACTTTAATAATTTTATGCCTGTTTAGTTACTGAGCAAAAACAAATGAAGATAAAYCCCACTAAGATGATAGAAAATGAGATTCAATGGTTGATGAATTTTGAATCTGG